TATATATATATATATATATATATAATTAGTTATTTAAAACAAGACTTCTCATTGATTATGAAAATAATATATTTTTAATTTATTGGAAAATATTTAGATGAAAGGTGTTGAAAGTTTAAATAGATTAATTTATTTGGCTGTATCATGATGCTCAAAATAACAGAGTACCTTAGTGTTTTGGGAAATCAACCTACAAGTTGTTTAGTTGCCTGCATATTAAGCTGGGATAGATGAAAGCATATCATAAATCACATCACATTTAAGTGTTGATTAAAAGGGCAATCATACCAGAGTCAAGTGGGTCAGTGATAAGAGCAACACAGATATGTGAATGTGAGTTTGATAAGGAAGCAGCACCTTCACACTGACTACTGGTATGCCCTGGAAGCAACAGGAAATCACTGAGCTTCCATAACACTGAGTCACTATGCCTCTGCAACCACACCTCAAGTCAGATGAAGTGGCCAAAAGAAAAATGCTGAAGAATAAGACAGCTTTGAAAAGCTGGGAGTTCGTTGGATGGTTTTTAAAGGATGTTGTATATAATTCCAAATGAATCCCTCTTATAATTGCATTCTGTACAAAACAATGCCACATTTGTGCACTTGTTTCCTTCTCAGATAAGCTCTGTTTTAGTTCTGAATTGACTTTCATTCATATGTGATGACATGTCTTTCCTATTTCCGATTCTTAAAATGATTGAATTCCTCATTATGCTCACTGTTGTTGAGAGAAATATGTCCCTCCTTGCTTCTCCTTCCTCCATTATTCTGTTATTATTCGGTTGATTCAATTTAAAAATCATCTGTCTTTGTGGTTAAAGATGAGATGATACTAGCAGTGGTAACTAGGTTATGCATTTATGTATGTTTTATTATTTTAAACACTTTTCATTTTCTCCTTTTCATTTTTCTTTAGGGCAGTATTAGAGCCCCTCTTGTCCTTGACACCACCAGCTCACAGTGTGTTTATTGTGGTTGATTCACTGGACTTGGGGTATTGTGGAGGTAATGGAGTTGGAGAAGGCTCAAAATCAGGAGCTGCGGCCACTCAGAGTTCCTCTATTGCAGAGCTCCTGCTAAAAAACATACAGCTCCTGCCCCCCTGGATCTTGCTAGTCTGCTCTGCACGCCGCCAGAACAAAGCCATTTGCAAGATATTCTCAGGTACACTCTTAGATGATGTACAAATCACTTCATAAGCACAGTGAAATGTGAGATGGTTAGCGTTATTGGTTTCTTGAAGTGTTGAGCATTGTTCATCTTAGTTAAGACTGTGTACAGGGACTTTATGTTCTGTGTTTAGAAACCCATTTAGTCATAAATGAATAATGTTCTCCACACTTGTATGGCCACCCAAACATTCTATATTCCCAAACATACAGCTTGTGACTAATTTTTTCTTTGCTTTTTGCTCTTATATCAGTATATTATGGCTTTGTAGTACTTTGTTTTTTACTAGATGAAATTACCTGGTCTTATGAGATGAGGGTCCCACACACTCATTAGCTCTTGTGGATGACATCTGAATTATAGCGTTAAGAGACTACAATCTATTGTGCACTAATTGTGTGTATATTTCTGCTTTTATAAACACATTTAATGCAAGGTCCTTAACTTTGGCTTGGAAAGCCTCGAGGGCCATCATGTTTTACCTCAGCCCACGAGATGAAAAGACTGGAAAAAAATAACTGCAGTTTGCTAAAAACATACTGAAATTATTCTGACAAATTGTTTTGTTATTAATTTGTATAGTAACTTGAAGTAGCAAAAAAAATGTTTGGAATTACCCAAATGTCAAAAAAAATTCAATGAACTAGAGTAATAGTACTGCGTTCATACTGCACATTAAAAGTAATCAGATCAGTTGTGTGAAGCTCACGCATACAGTAATGGGAACAACTCAGAGACACTACAGTATAATGATAATAAACATTATAATAAACACTATAATGAGATTATCACACAGTTCTGTACAGACAGAACATGCTGCTGACTATATAAATAAAATTAAATCACAGCTTTTTGTTGCATAAGGCAATTTCAGTGTTAATTGTGCAACCATAAAAACTCATTGTGATGCTTTAACAATTGTTGTGTCTTATTTTATCTCCTGCCTCTCTACCCTGTAGGTTTTAGGCGGTTGTGTCTGGATGACTTAAGAAAGCCTGCAACTGTACAAGATGTACAGCAATATATCCTGCGCAGGCTTGACCAGGATGGGGCTTTGAGAAGACAACTTACACCAGAGACAGCTGAAATACTTAATCTTTTGCACATCAAAAGCGGTGGCTGTTTCTTGTTTCTTGAGCGAGTACTAGATGGTGTTGCACATGGTCTAGTAGGAGTTCGAGAAATTCGGGACATTCCTGGCACACTGAATGGCCTCTACCTTTGGCTCTGTCAGCGCCTCTTTCCTCGAAGGCTGTTTGTCCATATTAGGCCTTTGCTGAATATCTTTTTGGCATCCCCACAACCACTAACAGCTGAGCAGCTCTACACTATTGCCAAAAGCCGTGACTTCTACCTTGGGATTGGAGACTTCCAAGCACAGAT